TATACAATGGACCTGACTGCTTTACACCTCTATTGTGTTATAGATTCAGAATCCAGAACAAAGAACCATATCTATCACTAAGTTTGCACCGTCCTATGGAAGGCAACACAATTCTTTAAAACAAGACATCTTATGGGAGAATTCGACAGTTACCTTAATATAGTGAAATATACTGATGTTGTTACGTAACATGAATATCTGCAAACATATCAAGTGTTACCAAAGTTTGAATTAAGCAAACAAAACTTGAAAAAAGAAAAAAGGAACCAAAGAACAAAATTATAAAAAAATTGGTTTGATCTTAGACTTTGGATATAATGGAATCAAGCCAAAAAATGTGAAACACTTCAGAATGACAACAGAATTCAAAATTCCAATGGCCAAATTTTGTACTAGCAGCCACCAAGTACAAAATCGAATGCCTGTTAAGATTAAAAAAATGGCCACCGTAATTATAACATAACCTACCAGGCCTTAAGCAATGTTTTTTATTCTCGTTTTGTTTTTGCTTGTTTTTCTCATGGTTAACCATTTTCATCACTTCCAAAATTACTCCTCATTGTTAATTTGAACAATATACAACGATCCTACACTTGTTCAAATATAAAATGAGTACAAACTCTAATTTAACGACATTTATGCCTAGAGTATAGATATATTTTGATTTAAATCTAACCTTAGTATAAAATCTTACAAAGTAATCGTCGAAATTCTAGGTACTATAAAAATTTTGAACCTATTATTCATTGTGATGATTTCAATGAAATCATCCACACAAGTACCAAGTGTTCCAAGTTCTACACAATCTCGTTTAATACTTTTATGGTCTTGCGATTCTCCTGTTGAAGCGACACCACCTCAAAATTTATATATGTAATGTTTTTGCAGTATCTTTTGTCACTTGTAGAGACACTTGATCCACCAATCTGAACTTTATTAAGAATAATAGAAACTTAACCCCCTCATTCGTGACAAACAGTACTTGTAACCTAGGATAGGTGTTTTTTAAGAAAAAAAAGTAAGTGCTGAATCTATTCACTTATCGAATGCTTCTTGATACCCTTTGAATTCGAAGTATACTTGTTAGTATATTCAGGTGAGTTGCTATCATTGGTGGATTTAATTGTTTTAACCCCATCCTATTAGTCGTTGTTCGCACTAATTTCTTTGTGAGCGATTTAGTGAACAGATCAGCCAAAATTCTCATTTGACTTCAATTAATAAGTGAAATTATTCCATTTTTGATTAATTTCCTCACATAATCATCAATGGAATAGTCATCATTGATTAGTGTTGATATCACCAAATAAAGTTTATCATCAGTGCAATTTTGCATCAATTAACTTTTAGTTTTTTATTAATTCATTTATCGACGAAAATTCACTTATGAGTTGAAATTACTAAGATAATTTTTGAAACTACTTTTGACTTGAATTACGAAATTGTTACTAGCAACAATACTAAAACAAATTTTCACCAGTCTCATAAATTATTTTGGACTTCAACAAATGATTCATGCATTTCACTTCCTTAATAAGGAAATTAGGCCCAAGACGGTCCAAAATTAAAAAAAAAAAAATAGATTAACATCTTAATTCATATCGAATAAATAAAGTGTCATATCATGTCACTTTTGGATATAAACAAAGTTTGAATTCATATTCACATTTTCACACAAACTTTGTATGCATATCTTTAATCGATCCAATAGTGTGCGACTTTCTTCAAAAATTGAATAGTGTGTCACTTTCTAATGCAAAACCATAATTTATATTTTCATAAACACCTTGTATTCATCTCTCTATTTCATTTAAAATTGAAAAAAAAAAAAAATATATATATATATATATATA